ACTCCTGTTTTCAAGTATCATGTAGGGGCAGTGCCATAAATCTTGTAGCAAATATTTTCTATCTTTTCAGATTATCTGGTTTGAACTTTACTACAGTGAATAATATGTTTAACCATATTCTGCATATATTGTTTACTTTCTCACCTTTAAACTTTGCATTTATTATGTTTCTGGTGGTCAGTCTATCATGTAAAATCTGGAATATTATCACGACGACATCTCTTTGACCCTCTTGTTGCGTAACATTTATCATGGAATCCTCTCTTAGGCTTATATTGCATAGGATCCTTCTGGAATTGTTTGGATATATAGATGTTGTATGTGGTAGATTCTTGCTGTAAACTTACCTACTTCGGAAGTTTGATCTTTTGAAATTCATTACTCTTGGGCCTGGTTTTTGCTTGTTAATAATATTTTTCTCCTCAAGTATTTAGTGTTCCCTATGATAACTCACTCTTATTGACGAGTGAATGTGCTCTTTTAACAACATTTAGTTCTGAAGACTTCTCTTGAGAAAGACATGTGGAAACACTATAACGACTTAGTAATTTTGATCTTTACCCTGGTGTTCTGCTCGTATTTGAAGCTTAGGTGTATGTTGTAATCTTCTATATGAGGAACAGTTATTTAAAGCTTGGTCCTTATATAATGGTTATCTAATGCTTGGATCCAGTCATCCAGATATATTTTTGGGGATCAGATGAACTGATATATAGTTCATTACTGTTTCTTACTGCTTTTATATTAGTTTCGTGGTCACTGATGATCTAGTGATGGTTCCAGCTCTCGCGATCCTTCCAGTTTAACGACTTCTTCCTAATTTAATGAACTTTTTAGCTTCAGATGTAAATTTTACAACATAATACTAATGATCTTTCATCTTTCTTGCTGTATTAATTTGAAGGGTTAATTGCAGATACACCCTGATGCAGCACAAAGTAGATCCGAATTTTTTGGAGTTAGGAATAGGATTTTTTTTTAGTTTTAGTTTTCCTTGTGATTTTAATTGCAGTTAGACTAATTAGTATTTCAATCATAGTTAGGATTAGTTGCAATTTTATTTGTTGTTATCTTTTAGTTAGAATTTTATTTGATTTTATCTTTATAAGCTTTTGTTTTCTCTTTTGTTTATTCTAAAAAGTATTGTGCTTCTTCGTTTTAGGGAGAATGAGAAGAAATTTTATGTGAGACACCTTGCATATGAATTGTAGCTTGTATATGCTTGTGGTTTTGCCTGGCATGTGACGTGCCCAGGTGTGAACTTCAACATTTCTATTTATTTGTTTGTTGTTATTTTAGCATCTGACCGACATCATTTAGTATCAGAACAAGCCTTGATCCATGCATGAATATTATGATTATGAAATAAATTTCAAAAGAAAAACGTGAAGGAGCTAAACATTGAAGTCATGATTGATACTTACAGATTTTCATTTTGTTCTGTTAGATTAAGTCTATTGGGTATTGGGTTAATGGGTTGTGACCCGTTAATCATACCCCTATTTGTATGACTATATATATATATCTCTAGTATCTGAATAAATCAATTAAGTTAGGGTTTTTGCTCTCTCAATTATCTTTTTCTAAATGGTATCAGAGCTTGAAACCCTACACGTCACAAATTCTCATTTAAAAAAACTAGCCGCCGCCGCCTCTTCTCCTTGCCGCCGGCACTACCGCCACCACTAGCCGCGCCGCTACAGTGCCGCGCCGCTACAGTACCATGCTGCTATAGTACCGCGCCATTTGTTTTGTTTCTTTTTTTTCATGGCCTTGAATAGGTGATTCGAGACCACACATGACCCGATCCGATCATCTACTACTGCCTATTTTTGATCTGCTCTTAGTCTATGTTTAAAGAACAGATCTCTACTACTGTCCTGATTATTTGACTACTACCTGCCTACCACTATTGTGCAACAATGTCGGAAATAGATCTCTCCTCTTCTACATCTCCCTCTGCTGCTGCTGGTCAGACTTCTGCGCCCAAGGTAGTCTTGGGGACTACAATAAAATTGAATGGTACAAACTATCTGCTCTAGGCTCAGGCTTTCCGCATCTTCATTGGCGCTCAGAGCAAACTTCCACATCTTCTGGCCTCTCCTCCACCCACCACAGATCCCACCTACAGTTCCTGGCTCTCGTCTGATTATTGTATTATGACGTGGCTCCTCAACAGCACGGAACCACAGATTAGTAGCAGTGTTATGTTCTTAACCACTACGAAGGAGATGTGGGACAGCCTGAAGATTATGTACGGAAATGAGAAGAATGATTCCCGTGTATTTGAGATTTATGAGCGACTGTTTACGCTCAAACAGGGAGATAGGTCAGTTCCGGAGTTCTTTGGTGAGTTAAAGGGACTGATAGACGAACTGGAGATGCATCAGCCTGCAGTAGCTGATGCGGCGACGCTGTTGGGATATCGTCGTGACTTGGCAGTGTCCAAGTTTCTTTCTGGATTATACCCTAACTTGCAGTCCCAGGTGAGAGGACATATATTGGGTGGAGATACCATCCCCTCACTGACTGCTACATTCTCCAGAGTCATGCAGGTCTCTACTGGTGTTTCTTCTGATACTTCTGCACTGTCTCCACCTTCAGTGGATCAGTCTGCCATGTTCTCTAGTAGAGGCAGAGGCCGAGGTCGTGGTCGTGGTCGTGATTCTTTGGGAGGACGTGGCTCTTTTAGTGGGAGATAGGGTGATTCTGATAGGGGTTCACGTCAGTGTGGTCACTGTGGGAGGACCAATTATATTTCTGAGCAGTGCTGGGAGAAGTTTAGTCGTCCTCAATGGGCCCAAGTAGCCGATGCCGAGTCGACTCGCTCGTCTATTTCTACTACTATTTCTAGTAATCCAGCTACTACTGTTCCTATTGTTCAGATTTCTCAGGCAGATTATGAGAGGTTACGCCAGCTAGAGCTCTCTCAGAACAGTCATTCGGCTACTCATGCATCCTCTTCAGGTATGGATGCTTACATAGCTTCTCCTCATGAACCATGGGTACTAGATTCTGGAGCCTCATCCCATATGACAGGTATAAAGGATCGTTTTGTCTCTTTACATCTTTCTGATAAGTTTCCCTCTATTCGCATCGCTGATGGTACATTTTCTCCAGTTCTTGGTACTGGAGTAGTTCATGCTACTTCCTCTTTGAAACTCACTGATGTGTTATATGCTCCTAAATTTCCTGTTAGCTTATTATCCATTAGCAAGTTTACAAAGCACAATAACTGTAAAGTCACATTCTTTCCTTCTTATTGTGTTTTTCAGGACCTAGCAACTGGGATGACGATTGGTTCGGGGTATGAGAGATGAGGTATGTACTATTTGGACGACAGTGTGCCGGGTGCTGGTCTTGTTGCAGCACAGCCTGATTCTACCTTACTGTGGCACTGGCGTCTGGGTCATCCTTCACTACAGAAACTTAGATCGGTAGTTACTGTTCAGTCTTCCCTTTCTTCTTTAGGTTGTGAGTCATGTGAACTGGGTAAGCACCATCGTGCTTCTTTTCAGAGTCGTGTCGATAAACGCAGTAGTTTTGCATTTGAGTTAGTTCATTCTGATGTCTGGGGTCCTTGTCGTGTTCCCTCTGTGAAGGGTTTTTAATATTTTATTGTTTTTGTTGATGATTTCTCTCGCATGACTTGGTTATATTTGTTGAAAGAGAGATCTGAAGTCTCGCATGTTATTAAACTTTTTTATAATGAAATAAAAACCCAGTTCTCTACTTCTGTTCATATTCTTCATACTGATAATGCTTTGGAATATATGAAAAATGACGTTTCAAAATTTTGTGCTCTTAATGGTATTATTCATCAAACTTTATGCTCTCACACTTCACAACAAAATGGAGTTGCTGAGAGGAAGCATGGACATATTCTCGATGTTGCTAGAACACTGATGATACATATGAATATTCCAAAGTACTTTTGGTCGGATGCTGTCCTCACTGCCTGTTATTTGATTAATCACATGCCTTCCTCTGTTCTTGATGGTTTGATACCATTCCACTGTCTTTATCCTACTAAAAAACGTTTTTCTGTGATTCCTCGAGTTTTTGGTTGTACGTGTTTTGTTCAGGATTTGACTGCTGGTTTGGATAAATTGTCTCCTATGTCCATTAAGTGTGTGTTTGTTGGATACTCACGTACTCAAAAAGGGTATATGTGCTATCATCCGACCACCAGGAGATATTTTGTTTCTGCTGATGTTACCTTTTTTGAGTCTGTCCCATATTTTTCCTCTGGTTCCACTACCTCTGTCAGTCCACAGGTGTCACTATCTTCTACGGCTCCCACTACTATTCCGGTATCTGCTCCTGAGGCTACTGCACCAAAGCCTCTACTGACATATTCTCGCCGTCCTAAAGTACATACACCTGTCTCTGCTCCTGCTGACTCTTCTTCTCCAGCTGCAGGTCCATCTCATGTCGAACCTCATATCTCTTCTGACTTAGATGTTCCTATTGCTCTTCGTAAAGGTAAACGGTCTTACCCAAAATATCCTATCTCTCTTTTTGTCTCTTATGACCGTCTCACCTCATCATTTTGTCAGTTTGCTTTGTCATTATCCACTATATCTTTACCCAGGTCACATGAGGAAGCTTTGTTAGTACCCGTCTGGAAACAGGCTATGGATCAGGTCACATGAGGAAGCTTTGTTAGTACCCGTCTGGAAACAGGCTATGGATGAGGAGATGAATGCACTGCTTTCTAGAGGGACTTGGGATTTGGTCTCTCTACCTGCTGGAGCGACTGTGGTTGGCTGCAGATGAGTGTATACCTTGAAATATCGTCCTGATGGGTCTGTTGATAGATATAAAGCTCGCCTGGTTGCTAAATGATATACCCAGACATATGGTATTGACTATTTTGAAACATTTTCTCCCGTTGCTCGTCTCAACTCCATCAGAATTTTTTTCTCTCTGGCTGTTAATATGGATTGGGCGATGCACCAACTAGATGTGAAGAATGCTTTCC